AAGAAAGAAAAGAAAAGAAAAGAAAAGAGCTAGCCTCCCGCAAATCCTAACAGTATTTTGGGATCAACTTACCACATGGAAGCTTTCAACGCTTCTAGTCATAAAGTTCTATTACACTTACAGTAGGCACCCAACTAGGGCATACTTTATATTTCATGTGCTATATTTAACAGCCCTAAAAGATTTTAAAATCTTTAAGGACATATCATATATTTCTATATTTGTCCTTTCTAAAAAATACTGGTAGGTTCACCAATTTCAAGTTAATGTGTTCTACTCCTTAGTTAAAAATCTTCAACAAATGGCCATAGTATTAAACTGACTCTTAATGACTTTATTGTCACACCTATACATTAAGTATCTTGTAACTCTCACCAGAGAAGCTGCTTCTTGTAGCACATGGTGATAAATACAGAGACCCACAACTGGTCAAAGTGCAGAAAATAAGAGACTGCGGAGAGCTCAGTCCTAAATTGGACCACGCCCTCTCCTCCCAAGGCTCAGGGAATATTGCTGAAGAGGGGATAGCGGAAAGACTGTAAGAGCCAGATGACTACAAAGAAGCTATGTTTTCCAGACACAACAGGGAAACTACCCAAATGAACTGACAGTGGCTATGACTGCATGCACAAGACCTGCTCAAGATCACGCGAGACAAAATCCCAGAGTGGATGAGGGAGGTGGTCGAGAAGCCTCAGGTTTAGTTGAGGATCTGTTAACAACTGATAACTGCTGGGAGAGGGAGAGTCAGTTTTCTTTAAGGCTGTGATGCCAGGTAAGTTGACTAGGCTCCAGGGGACAGATCTACACCCAGGAACATTTGAGGAACACAAATTAAGACTCAACAGGCTTTAAAAAAATAAAGGACATGAAGTGAGTTGGGTAGGATGGGGGGTGGATCTGAGAGATATGAATATGATCAAATTACATTGTATGAAATTCTCAAAAAAAATCAATAAAAACATTACTCTTAAAAGTCTGCAATAAAGTGTTATTATTAATAAATCAATCCTGTAATTTCATTCCCATTAATATTTCAAATAACCATCATTAAACTGTTCCATCTTCATCACATTTAAAGGTACATGAAAGCTAGTTTTAGAATTCTTTAAGCAGGAAACATTAATTTTTTTCTTTAATAAAAAGCATAATATAATAAATCATAACAAACATACTCCAATTCAACATCTAACTTTATTCTCCCAGCTAAATGTTATGAAAGTTTAAAAAATAATTTTGGGAGGCTGGAGAGACGGCTAGGAGGTAGAGAGCTCTAACTGCTCTTGCAGAGGATCCAGGTTTGGATCTCAGCACCCACAAAGCAGCTAACAACGATCTATAACTCCAGTTCCAGAGGATCTGATGCCCTCTTCTGACCTCCATGGGCACTGTATGACACCGGTGCACTTACATGCATGCAGGCGATATACTCATAGACTTAAAATAAAAATAATAGGTCTGGAGAGATGGCTCAGTGGTTAAGAATATGGTTGTTCTTGTAGAAGACCTGGGTTCGAATCCCAGCACCCACATGGCAGCTAACAACTGTCCATAACTTCAGTCTCAGGGGATCCGATAGCCTCTTCTGACCTCTGCGGGCATTGCACGACACCGTGCACTTACCTACATGGAGGCAATACACAAATACGCATAAAATAAAAATAATAAATAAAATAAAATAAAAATTTTTGAATAATTTTTTTTAAAATATCAAGACAAATTTTCAGAGGAAATATCTTAAACTTTCAAGTATAATTTTTAAAAGATCAGTTTTTTCTTAATATTTATTATATATTTTTTTATTTTATGTGTATTTGTGCATCGCCTGCATGTAGGGAAGAGCACCTGTGTCGTGCAATGCCTGCGGAGGACAGAAGAGGCTGTTGGACCCCCTTTAACTGGAGTTGCGGACAGTTGTTAGTTGCTATGTGGATGCTGGGATTCGAACCGGCATCTTCTCCAAGAACAGTGTTCTTATCCGCTGAGCCATCTCTCCCACCTCTCAAGTACAATTTTTAACTGAAAACGTCAAAGACAAAAATAGGGGTTTTTTTTCCTTTTCTACCCCCAACAAAAAATAGATTTAAAACCATTGAAGAGTAAATATTTGGGTGGAAAGGAAGAGGTTTATTGGTTTATTATTTTCTTAAGGTTGTACTTTAAATGTAGTTCAAAAGTTTAGCGCCTGGGATGGAAAATTCCTTTGGTTATATCCTAAAAAATTAGCACAAATTAAGCAAAAAATTTCATGCCCTCAACATTTGGTGTAATAGGGCAGAAATGTTCATTACCACAATATTAAGAAATATCAATAATAAGAATAACTAATTCATAAGGAGAGTTTGAATTGGACCGAATCCTGACTTTGCTTTTTTCACTCCAAGTTTCTTTTCTATTTTAAACTAGTGGCAACAGAAATTTCTTTGTTTGAAAGTCTGGAATGCTGAACTCTTAAGTGAGAGAACAGGTAGCTCGATTTCTACTACACGTCTTTTTCCTCAGAGGGAGAAAAAACATTGTGGATAAAGTCATTTTGTTTTTAATTTCTGGAAAAATCATTTTTCCCATCAATCTTCATAACTCTCTAAAATAAACAGTTCAAAATGTACAGACCAGTCAATCACTTCACCCTGATTTGTGGAAATACTATACATTAATTTAAAGAACACATGGCAAATTCAAGTTTTCTGATACTTAAAAGGTCTAAAAGTTGCTAGTTCTTAACTCTAACAAAACTCCAGGAGACTCTTAGGAGTCCGTGATCTGTTTTTCTATCTATCTGAAATATTTCTGCGAAGAAATAACAAAGGTAGTTCAGGCTTAAAGTCATGGTGCATTCTGTGAATTTGGGGGACACTATATAATTTCAAGTATGGAAAAAGGTTTTTATGTTTCAGCAAGTACTTAAGGACCACATCCAGAAAGAAAAAAAAATGGAAATAAGCTAAAACTTTACGTTTTCATTAAGATAGAGTGGCAAATAATCTTCTTTTTGCTAATATTGAGATGGACTGCCTATGCAAATTAGGGCTGACAAAGTAATCACAGCTTTTGGAAGATGTAACATGCAAGGAAAGATTTATAGTTTAAAATATGTGATTCACATTCTAAGCCACTTTAATTAAGATTTAAAAATTCAAGAGATAGCCAACTCAGATAATTAAAGAAAGCAGCGAGAAATACAAAATACTGAGCAACAAGCAGTTCCTAAACCATCTAAATCAAATAAAGTCAAGACAAATTAAATAAAGACCAGAAACCACATAAATCAAATAAAGTCAAGAAAAATGAAATAAAGACCAGAAACCACTCCCTCCTGAGCACAGAGTTAACCAGAATCACAAACTTGATGAACCAGAGGAGGCCTCTGGAGGATGCATACAGGCAGGCGCCTGCACACAATGGAGGGTAAGCATGGAGCCTCTCAGCACTAACGGGACATATGTAAAGTTCTACCCTTCTCATAATGGAAAGCAGAGTGGGGGAAAAAGTTCACACTTTCTTCTAGAACAGAGAAAAACTACAGTTGGTATTGCAAATTACTAATTCTCTGGCTGCAACTAAAGTCAGAAGTGAATGTGTAGGGTATGGGGCAGGGTGCTTAGGGGAAAGAGCAAGGCAGTGAGAAAGAGAATTCGTGTGAAGAAAGTTTGAGGCACTGTGCAAAGCCTGAATAGATTAATAGCATTAAAAAGCCGTACTATTTCCTATTTCATGTTTCCTTCTCTCCCCCTTCTGTAATTTATTAATTATAGAAAAACTTCCTGAGTCTCAACCCAGACCTGCCGTAAACGGAACTGTAAGGCCTGGTGCTTAAGATGCACCAGGAATCCTAGGCTAGATATATGTCCTGCACAAATGGCCCCTTTGAAGGGAAAGGATCTTTTAAAACCAATTTTGTGGTCATGTATAAAATGAGAGGAATTGCAAGGGCAAAGGTCAATCTATGCATCAAGCAGTAAACTGAAGCTCTAATCCACAGAGTGTCGATTTTCTACTAAAACATAAACTATGCAGTGTCCTCAAGATTTTTTTAACTGGAAAAAAGTTTGGCTTTACCGTTTTTTAGTAAATCATGAGGGGCTGAGCTTTGTTTTTGGCTTCAGACCTATTCATAACTGTGTTGTTTAGATTTTAGGGGTCAGAACTTTTTTAAAAAAAATTTAAACGGATACAAAAAGAAGATGCATAAAAAGTTTCATGACATAGCTTTTCTATAATAAAATAAAAATATAATTGAAGAGGGGTATATAGATTTTGAAAAAAAAAAAAAAAAGTTGGGTCCTATGAAGGTGTCCCTTGCACTGAGCAGAAAGCTTAGTTGAGAAATAAGTAACAATCACCTTAAGGGAAAGGAAGGGAGAGGGGCCCGGGAAGCCATCACCTAGGCTACTTAGAATAGCAGCCTGCATTTCTCATGCCACTATCCTGGCCAGGAGGGGAGCGAAATACAACTTCTTTGCCTTTAAACTGCACGGAAAGGGAAAAGAAGTCATCTCTCTGTTCTCTCTCTATGCACACAGGAAGAGCCCAATTCAATACCACCTCCACCCTTGGTCTCGCTCCGCCCCAACTTCTGTGTGAGTGTGTGTACGTTCGGAGGTGGGGGGGGGGGCGACACAACTTGAGTGTTTTAACCCACAAATTATAAGTCACCTCCATCTCATGTAGGTTAAGTTCCGCCACCCCAAGTCATGCCATGCTGAGCAAGCGCAGGTGCCTGGGGTTCTGGCCTATTTTTAGAGTGCCGCACCCCCCCCCATCTAAGTCCCATCTACTTGCGTGTCCCAGTCGCTCCAGTCTTAACACCATACAGAGCACCACCTAGCCTAGGCTCCAGGAAACACCTCAAGCCTTATTTCAGGTTCACCTGGCCAGAGATCCTGCCCTGCCTTCAGGGGTGCCCCAGGGTCGCCCCTCTTCGCCAGTGCCCAGAGCAGGGCGCACATGGAGCTCCCGAGTAGTCACGTGGGCGGCAAAGGCGGCCTGGGTTTCCTCACCTGCATCCCGGGCACTTGAACAGCCACCGGTGAGTGGGCCATGGACACAACTGCTACTTCGCACTGCTTCAGCTGCGGTGGCGCCTCGGACTCAGACTGGCTCCTCCTATAGGGGTAGCTCGGTGACTCTCCCAGGCTTCTCGATCGGGGCCTGGAAGGACACACAGATGTGGAGTAAGTGGGCTAGTGGCTTGCAGACCCCCTCCCCTGGGTGGAGGTGACTAGTTCGCAGCGCGGTTCCCCGAGACTCAGTCTACCTTTCTGCCAGCCGCCCGCCGCCGTCGCAGGCGCTCAGGGTTTTGCTCCTCTTCCTGAAGGCAGGGTTGTTTGCGCGGCGGTGGCTGGGACCTGGACTCCAGTGATGCCGCACGTCTGCGCCTCGCCGCTTTAGGAAGAGGAGGTGGAGGCGCCCCAGCAACCCGCCGGATCGCCCAGTCGGGGAGGCGGTTGGGGGCGGCTCCGCTGTTGGCCCAGGCTCCGCCCAGAGGCCGGGCGGTGTCGGGGGAGCTGAGGTTCCTAGCTGCAAAGGGGTTTGGCCAAGGTTGCCCGACTCGGAGAAGCAGAAGGATATCCTGGCACGCGGAGAACAGCAGAATCCCGGAATTGGGAAACCTGGAATACAGCTGGGCTTGAAGACAGTACAGGAGAGTTTGTGAGAACCTGGGGGGAGGGGAGGGGGTAATGAGGGTGACCAGGATGAATGCAGCCAACCAACGTTGCAGTCAAGCATGTGAAGCTAGGGTGCATACAGCCTCCCCAAAATCTGGAGTTCCAACTTGGAGACGATTAGGAGTTTTGCCTGGCTCCCCCACCTGGCCAAGGGTGGGGCCACTAAGTTGGACACCTGCTCCTTCCTGCCTTAGGTTCTCCTCTGCTTTTAAGCTTCCTCACCCCTAGGCATGCCTCAAGTGACTCCAACCTAAGCCTGTCCCTTCCTCTTGAGCTATTCAGTTGATGGCTGGCCTGCCAGAGACTTCTCCTTACAAGTTACACACATCTAAAGGACACTGGAAAACAGATGGCCTGTCCGCAGAAAAGTTAAGGCAAATAATAGAGGCAAGGAACATGAGATTCTATCTTTCTTTGTGCATATAATTGAGTTCAGCATGCATAGCTTCTGTAACTCTGTTTCCATTCAATGTAAGTTCCACTCCAGAATGAGGCAACCGCTTTTGAGAGTTCCTTAAAACCAAAAGTGATGGTGGTAATAACAGCAATCAAGGGAATTTCATAAAATCACCATTATGAACACAAGGGGTTAATTTCCTTAAAAAGTAACATTCAAGTGCCAGTCTAAAGCAAGGATGCACCCCTTTACCTTGAAGCTTGTTAGGAGTCTGTGTGTGTTGGGGGGGGAAGCTCTAGTGGACATTCAACAAATTTTATTCTTCCATTTTGCCCCCCCCAAGAATAGCATTTGATTATTTTCAACATTGTCATCATTAATAGATGTCATTTTCTTTGTTCCAGAGACAACTAAATGCTTTGTGTTTTGTAATGAACTGCCATTGAATTTTGACAGGAGCTTACTGGGGTCTCGCTGCTTTCTCCTCATTGTACAAACATAGTGAAAGGCTCAGCCAAGTAAATATTTGACTCGAATATCACAATTTTTAAAAAGTGGTATATCTAGCCAGGCATGATGGCTCATGCCTTACACCCAGCACTCAGGAGGCAAAGGCAAGCCACTCTCTGTGAATTCGAACATAGTGAGTTCCAGGTCAGCTGGACTACAGGGAGACCGTGTCTCAAAAACAAAACAAAGAAACAGAAAAAAACAGTAACAAAAAGAGGTACATCTGACTACTTACTACTTCCTATATGACTTTTATTTACTTTGAAATATAATAAAGGATATCATTTTCCTTATTCTTTAAAAAATGTTTCATTGAATTTTTGTATATTTCATACAGAATATCTCAATTGATCTTAATCATCTTTACACCCCTTCCCACTGGTACCCTCCCGTAGCTCCCCCACTGAAATTCATACATTATGTCATTTGTGTTAAGGCCTGTTATGTCAAGTTAGTGTTCTCAGGCGTTCCTCAGTGCAAGTTCATCTACTGAGGTCTAGTCAGCCTATCTAGAGTCCCTCGCTTTAGGAAGATCAGCTCTTCCTCACCCAGCAATAATCAGTTGCCAATATTTCTTCAGCTAAGATTAGAGTCTGTTGTCCATTTCCCCAGTTCTATGCTGGCTTTTTTGTCTACTTGAGTTTGCATGGGACTTGTGCACGCTGACACCATTGCTGTAAGTTCATATGAGCAGGGTCCGAGGAGGAGCTTGTGCGACTCTATTTCCATATGGTCGTGCACCTCCTCCCTGGCTCTTAAAATCTTTCAGCCCCCTCTTCCACAATGGACTCTGAGCCCAGGGAGGTAAAAGGAAAGAAGGAACCTGAGCGAGAAGAACATTTCTTTATTTCCCCAAGTTCAAGCCTTCTTTCTACCTGATGATAGGCCCTGATCTAGTATCTATTTCCTACTAGCTCAGTTCACACTTAATAGCAGCCTGGCCAGAATCCTGCAGTCCCACCCAAACTTCAGTGTCTGTAGAGATCTCAGAGGCTTCTTTTTAAAGTGAAGAATTTGAACCCACAAGTGTGGAGTAAGCTCAAGAATCTGCATTGCTAACAAGCTCTGAGTGGTAACTGTAGCAATTCTTAGATTACTCTTTTGAGATAGTCTGAATCAAGTTCCATCTTTAAAGGTCCACTTTTAAGCTTTCCTAGTTCCACATCTAATCTCCTAACTACCTTATGTTCATTTTCAAGCTCCTATCATATGTATGTAGAAGCAGCACTTACACTGATGTTTGTTCTTATTATTTCCTGTATTGTATGTATTTTGCCTGCCAAGGTTATTAACCTTTGCCAAGGTTACTAGGTCCTCGATGTCAGAAATCCAGCTTCTCTTCCATGAGAATTACTCAGGGAAAATGACAGCTTTCTGAGGGCAAGCTTTGTTGTTGTTGTTCCTTGCTGTATCCACAGAGCCAAAAATGTTCTGGGGTATATAGTAAGCCTACAATAAATGGTTATTGATTGAATGCATGCACTTCCTTTGAAATCTTCACAGAAGTTATTAGGCGTGTTCTGGAGATATTATGCTGCATTGTCACCAGGCTGAATGCCTGTGTATTGCTCTTGCTGACTCTTGCAATTGGTCACCTTATCACGTTATATAATCGATTTCCTGGTCTATTATGTTCTTTCCAGTTACCTTAATTCGCAAATATTTCAGCGAATGTTGTGTGATATTAGTAAATAAATTAATTGAACATGTCAGAGAAATAACTTCCCATGCCATCGTTCTGGGCTAGGGTTATGTGGAAGAGTGAGTGCTAAACTTTGAGAACTCAACTATTGAGACAGTTCCCAAAAGACACTGATTAGCAAATGCTTTTATTTCAGTATAGTGATACTAAATAAACCATTTGTTGTTATTATTGATTAAGAACATTTGAATAATACCTTGGGGTTCCTTATGGTTTCACTTTTTTCCATTGTGTGTGTGTAATGTGTGACTATATGCTTAAAACATTGCAAAGATGTAAATATTTGAAAACAATCCAAATTTTCTAAGCACCAGGAAAATCCACCTACCAACACACTGCATTACTTTTCATAAACTTAGTTTAAGTAAAATGACAAATTCAGTATATTGCAACACACACACACACACACACACACATCAGTTCACTTTTTCACTCAAAAGTGTCAGTCCAGAGTCTAATAATAAAAGGTTAAGCATCTCTCATCTGAGTGCTTCAGACCAGAAGTGTTTCAGATTTCAGAGTTTTTCAAATATAGTTTGCATAGCCTTTTCCCATCCTGAATATGAAAATCTGAAACCTGATATACTCCAAAATCCAAAACTTTTGATCACCATATTGGTATTCAAAGCATTTCAGGCTTCAGAGAATTTTGGATTTCAGATATTCAGATAACAAATACTCAGCCTGTGTATTAAAATATACTCATACTAGGATCCTATAGAGGCCTAGGCTCTATAGGCCATTGTCTAGGCTCTTGGTTACTCTCCAGAAATTGACATTAAAACCCTATAGCTGAAGACAACATATGCTTGAATCGTTAACATGGAGAAATGAATCTGGCTCTGACCTGGAGGCTTCATCTCTACTGTCTAACATTCATAGTGTCGGAAGATGCTATACAAGGTACCAGAGGAGAAAAGTTATCATCACTCTTACCCTGCTGTGAACTCTGCAAGCTACAGTAGTGACTGGGCTGGCAAGATATGCCCACTGTGCAACAGTGACACAAATATTATGTGAGTATCTAACCACCTTCTGATTCATTTGAGGCCAGCTTCACAAGATAGAACCCATACCTGGCACAGTTTGCTATCAAGTCCAAAACCTTGTGGTTAGACAGGTCACAGATCATAAGAGAGAACCTACTTCAGTTATTCTGCTAAATGGACATAGTATTAAACTGACTTCTAATGACTTATTACTATACCCATAGATTAGTCCATCTCTAAGCCCTCACCAGAAAAGCTTCTTTGGGGAGAGTATAGATGGCAATTAACACAGAGACCCACAAATGATCAACCTGCAGAGAATAAGAGACTGTGGGACATCTATATCACCCTCCTCGTCCCCAAGACTCGTGATTTCTGAGGAAGGATGGGTTGAAAGACTGAAAGAGCCAAAGGTGGTGGAAGACTGCAAGGAAACTGTTTTCCAGACAGCCTACCAGTTGCACAAATGAACTTACAGCAATTGTAACAGCATGTGCAAGACCTACTCACTCTCAAGCTGGTTAAAATTCTATCAGGGTGTGGGGAGGTGGTCTTGAAGTGCTTCCCCTAGCTAAGGAGCTAAAGGCATATGAAAGCTACTTGGAGAGGAAGAGTCAGTTTCAAGGATGTGATCCCTCGTAGGTCGACCACGCTGCAGAACAGGTTCCAAACCTGAGTATTTGGGCAGTACAAATTGGAATTGATGGGCAAAAACAAAAAACAAAAAACATGAAGTTGGGTGGGTAGGAAGATGGGTGGATCTGGGAGGAGCTGGAGGGGAATATCAAAATATGTTTTACGCAGGTCCCAAAAATATATATAAAACATATATTATATACACATACATAATGTGTATGTAATATATCTCCCCACAGCTTGATGGAAAATGTTCCTTAAGGACCGATGCCACATCTGATGCTTTTTGGTAGCCTCAAAGGACATAATGTACCTCAGAATTTAGTACTTTTTTGATCCATGTGGCCTTATTTCTATGAATATTTAACAGCTATATAAATGAAGACTATATGCAGAATCAGTGAAGTAAGTGAATTCCAAGTTAAGTTCTACAAGCCCACCAAAATCTATCAATTTGAATTTAACATCTCTTAGGGTCAGCAAGATAGCTCAAACGGTAAAGGCACTCACTGATAATCCTGAA